TGCCAAGCAATCACTTTAAGGAGTGGAAAAGAAATTGAGGGGGTGAATGAAAAAGAAATTGAATATGAGAATGAACATGTTGAATGTGTGAGAAAGAAATTAAAGTTGAACAAAAAGAAGATGAAAAGACTAAAAATCAAGGAAATTCACAAGTCATCCTTCCTCCACCACCTTTTCCCCAAAGGCTCCAAAAGCAAACACTTGGAAAGAAATTTCAAAAATTCATCAATGTGTTCAAGAAATTACACATAAATATTCCTTTTTTTGAAGCTTTGGAACAAATTCCAAGCTATGTTGAGTTCTTGAAGGACATCTTCTCGAAAAAGACAAAGCTAGGTGAGTTTGAAACCGTCTCCCTTACAAAGGAATGTAATGCAATTCTCCAAAATAAACTGTCACCAAAACTTAAAGATCTAGGTAGCTTCACAATCCCTTGCACTATTAGTAATTTACTTTTTGGAAAACCTTTGAGTGATTTAGGTGCAAGTATCACTTTAATGCCTTGGTCAATGTTTGAGAAACTTGGTTTGGGGGAATGCAAACCCACTTTTGTTACTTTGCAACTAATTGATCGCTCTTATGTGTACCTAAAGGGAATTATTGAAGATGTTTTTCTCAAGGTGGATAAATATATTTTTCCAATTGATTTTATAATTCTTGACATGGAAGAAGATAGGTAAATTTCAATCATCTTTAAAATGCCATTCTTAGCAACTACTAGAGCCTTGATTGATGTTGAAAAAGGTGAGCTCACTTTGAGAGTCTAAGACCAATAGGTAACTTTTAATAGTTTTAAAGCTTTAAAATTGCCTATGACATCTGAAGACTGTTTTGAGTGTGGTAAATGATATGACAAAAGATGTCTTCATAGAAGAATATCCTAATGATCCTCTTAAAGCATGTTTACTTGCTAAATCTAATAGGGATGATGGTGAATTTATTGAATATTCAAATTTGCTAAATGCTCAATCCACACTTAGAACTAATCATCAATTTGAGTCTCTAGATGTTCCAGCTTCTTTGATGTTGGCTTCTAAGCCCTCCATTGAGGAACCACCTACTTTGGAACTTAAACCTCTACCCGCATAATTAAGTTAAGCTTTTCTTGGAAATTTAACTACTCTTTCAATTATTATTTCTACTTCTTTTATTAACATGCAAGAAGAGAAGTTATTGAGGACACTTAGAAAATTCAAGAAAGCAATAGGGTGGAACATAGTTGATATTAAGGGAATTAGCCCTTCAACAAGAAAATAACAAACCCACAATTGAATAGCAAAGAAGATTAAATCCCATCATGAAAGAAGTGGTTAAGAAAGAAATCATCAATTGGTTAGATGCAGGAATAATTTATCCTATTTTTGATAGCTCATGGGTAAGTCTGGTCCAATGTGTTCCTAAGAAAAGTGGGATGACTGTGGTCGTCAATGACAATAATGAGCTCATTCCAACAAGAACTGTGATTGGGTGGAAAGTTTTCATGGACTACCGCAAGCTCAACAAAGTTACAAAGAAAGATCAATTCCCTCTTTCATTCATTGATCATGTTGGATCACATAGTTGGTAAGGAATATTATTGTTTTCTAGGTGGTTATTCTGGTCATAACCAAATTGTTATTATCCCTGAAAATCAAAATAAGACCACATTTACATGTCCTTATGGAACTTTTGCTTTTAGAATAATGTCATTTGGATTATGTAATGCACTTACCACCTTTCAGAGATGTATGAGGGTTATCTTCACTTACATGGTGGAAACATGTTTAGAGGTATTTATGGATAATTATTTTATTTTTGGAAATAATTTTGATGATTGTCTTTTAAATCTTGCTAGGGTACTCAAGAGATGTGAAGAAACAAATTTGGTGCTCAATTGGGAGAAATGTCACTTCATGGTGCAAGAAGGTATTACTCTTTGGCACAAGATCTTTAGTAATATTCCTTACCATTGAGGTAGATAAAGTAAAAATGAAAACCATTGAGAAGTTACCATCTCCATTAAATTTCAAAGGTATTAGAAGGTTTCTTGGTCATGCTAGTTTTTACAAAAGATTTATTAAAGACTTTTCAAAAATTTCTAAACCACTTTGCAATTTATTAGAAAAATATGTGCCATTTAAGTTTGATAATGAATGTCTTGTTGCTTTTGATTAACTGAAGAAAAGATTAATTTCTGCACCTATCGTAATTAGTCCCGATTGGACTCTCTCTTTTCAACTAATGTGTGATGCGAGTGTTTATGCGGTGGGAGACTTTTTCAGACAAAGGAAGGATAAAATCTTTCATTCCACCTATTATGCTAGCTAGACTTTGAATGAGGCTTAGAAAACGTATACAACAACAGAAAATGAGCTTTTGGCTGTAGCTTTCGCTTTTGACAAATTTTGCTCCCATCCAGTTGGGACAAAGGTGATACTATACACTGACCACTCAACTATCAAATATTTCATTGCCAAGAAAGATGCTAAACCAAGATTGATAAGGTGGATTCTTTGGCTTCAAGAATTTGATCTCAAGATTTGTGATAGAAAAAGAACAAAAAATCAAGTGGCACACAACCTCTCAAGATTAGAGATTGAAGTTGAAGATAAAAATTCAACCCAAAACAAAGAGACTTTTCCCGATGAACAAATCCTTCAAGTTGGTAAGAAACCATTTCCTTGGTATGCTGATCTTGTGAATTATCTGGTAAGCAAAATTATTCCCCCTAATTAAATTTTCATCAGAAAAAGAAACTTTTACATGATGTTAAATTCTATTTTTATGATGAGCCCTACTTGTTTAAGTAGTGTAAAGTCCAGATCTTTAGAAAATGTGTCCAAGGAGAAGAAATTCAAAGTGTGCTTCACCATTGCCATTCTTCAGATTATGGAGGACACTTTGGAGGAACAAGAACTACTGTTAAAGTCCTCTAATTAGGTTTGTACTGGCCAATAATATTTAAAGATTCTCACAATTTTGTTTTGCATTGTGACAAGTGCCAAATAGTGGGAACTATCTCAAGGCAACATGAGATGCCTCTCAACAACATCCTTAAGATAGAAATTTTTTATGTATGGCGTATTGACTTCATGGGTTTGTTCATATCTTCATAACAACAAACACATCTTGCTTGCTATTGATTATGTCTCTAAATAAGTTGAAGCGGCAACCTTTCCTCATAATGATTCAAAGGTGGTAATAAATTTTAGAAAGAAGAATATTTTCACTCGATTTGGCTCTCCAGAGAAATTATTAATGATAAAGGGAATCACTTTTGCAACAAGTATTTTGATGCCCTTCTAGTAAAATATGGAGTTAAACATAAGGTTGCAACTGCGTACCATACACAAACTAGTGGCCAAGCGAAAGTGTCAAATAGAGAAATCAAGCGGATAATGGTGAAAATGTTCTGTCCCACAAGAAAAGATTGGGCAAGAAGACTAGATGATGCACTGTGGGCATATTAGACTGCTTACAAGACCTTGATTGGCATGTCTCCATACAAGTTGGTCTTTGGCAAAACTTGTTCCTTACCAATGGAACTTGAGCACAATGTTTATTGGGCCGTGACGAAGTTAAATTTTGATTTACGAGCAGTAGGTGAGCAAAGGTTGTTGCAATTAAATTAACTTGATCAATTTTGACTTTAAGTTTATGAGAATGCCAAACTCTATAAGGAGAAAACAAAGCAGTGGCATGATAAGAACACAGTGGAGCGAAGCTTTGAGGTAGGACAATCAATGTTGCTTTATAACTCTCACTTGAAATTATTTCTAGGGAAGTTTAAATCATGGTGGTCTTGTTCTTTTATTATCACTAAAGTATTTCAACATGGAGCAATCAAAGTTAGGGGGACATATGGTCAAAAATTTAAAGTCAATGGACAAAGATTGAAGCACTATTAGGAGGGTGAAATTTTTCATCAAAAGTCCTCAATACAATTACTTGACATAGCCTAGAGTCCAAGTCCATCCAGCTGAAGACTATAAATAAAGCCCTTCTAGCGAGGTAACCCAAGCTCCTCAACCTTACACATTTTAATCTTTATTTTATTTAATTAAAATTTATTCCTTTTAATTTAATTTTTTATTCTAATTAATTTATGTTTACTTTTGTAGGTATTTGGTTTCCAAAAAAATTTAAAAAAAAGGTTAGAGTCATGGCCCTCCAACTGAGAGTCGCGACCTTCCACTTGAGAGCCGCAACGCCGAAAAAAAAAAGCTAGTTGCATATATTTTTTTATTCTTCATTCACAATTTCTACATTTTTTCTCTACTTGGGTTTTGTCTTGCATTCACTGCTCCCTCAAGGTAAGTTCCCTCTCTCTCTCTCTCTCTCTATGACATATTTAGGCTTCACTTACTTTTAACTTTTATATAGTGAGAGAAAGATTGTTGTGTTAACAGCAAGGCCATTGTGAAATTTTATGATTTTTTCACATGGAATGAGTCCATTGTGTAGGTTTGTTAATGGGTTTTATTGTTCTCTCATGGATTATGTTTGGAGTGCAGAAACTTTTCATGATTAGTGACAAATTCGTGTTGCCCATAGGATAGGTTCATACATTTTATAGTGGTTGCACATCATATTGTTGAATGCTTGCTTACTGTGAATGGTTTATAGCTAATGGGTATGTGGATTTATTTTTGAACCTTTGATTTCGCAAGTAGAAATAAATTTTGCAATTATTGGTGCAAAAGAAAAAAACTACAGCACTTGGTAATGTTGGCTGAATGCAATTTCATAGAATTTTCTTTTTAAATGCTAAGTATGAGAACATTTTGCTAATTATAATATGTTTCTGGAATAGGATTATTGAAAGGAGTAAATAAATTCTTGACGATGGTGGTGTAAGATTGTCAATTTTAAGACGTTGCTATGGAATTGTGCCGTTAGGTTTCTTGAATTGGATAGAAATTAATTAAATTAATGCCTTTGGATTTTTAATATTTTCCTGGTTGTGCACGTAACACTATTTGCATACTTTTACTTTAGATTTGTTTTGATAATTGAATTTCTTTTGTAGGAATGGCACCGAAACGATCCAAACCAAGCTCAAGTGGTGCTTTCGATAGATCGAAGTTCATCTCAGTCGATGCCTCTGCGAGATATCGTATGTCATTGATCAACAAAGTGCCAATTCCTAAATGAGGGATAGATATCCCGATCCTCGCTTATGAGAAAATTCATCATATGCTTTAAGACCAACATTGGCAGTTATTTAGTAACCAACCTGAAGCTGTGATTGTACTAGTGGTCTGAGAGTTTTATGCAAATGTAGTTGAGCATGTTGATGGCACTAGTTTTGTTTGTGGCAAACAAGTCCCTTTTCACAGTCAAGCTATCAACACATTCTTTAGAACTCCTAATATTGAGAATGGTGAATATGGACATTACTTGGGTGATCATCAAGATTGTAATGAGATTATATCAATGCTTTGTGTTAAGGGAGCTCAATGGAAGATATCACATGGTGAGCCCGTTTCATTTAAACAAAGTGCTATGAAAATGGAGCTGAAAGTTTCGTTACACTTTGCAGTGGTATGATTACTCTCGTCTGTTCATATCAATGATGTCACAAGGGATTGCATATGTAACAACCTCTTCCCTCGATCGCTACCGACGTCCGAGACTTGTGAGTGCACCCACCAAATCCCAAACAAACCTTAGTTAAGCCTCCAAGTAATTTAAACTCAACTTACAATTTTAACACCATAATTCATTTAAACTAAACAATCACGATATTTAAAACGTGGCATCTAGATACTAGTAACCTGGTTTGATAATTCCATACAATTTCAATATAATATGTAGTAATCATTACATAACCTTAAGTTTTAGTAAATACATTTCCAATAACCTATTAATCATTATAAACCTGACTATTTGACACAACCCGACCTCTAGGCAGCAGAATGACTCGGAGCGGAAGTCTAGAGATGCCATTACCTAGGTTGTAGCTAGCCTCAAGGTGCTGACCAATGCACTAGAACTGATTACCTATTTGCAAAAGAAAATAAGGAGGGTGAGTCTTACAAACTCAGTGCTCATCAACTCCGTGAGTAGGGCGTAGATGGGAAACAAGCTAAAGGTGGAAGATTTGAATATTCAAAATATAAGAATATATGTAAACAATTCACTCGAAAGGGGAGGTTTGTCCCTTATATGAAAATAAGTAAGTTTATGCTAAATAATCATTTAAATCCAATATTAACCCAAGTCATGGAAAGATTCCTACCATCAAAATCACTTAACATCTAGCGTACAGTAATTTAATGGCATCACGCATGCTCCCGTAAAATCCAACATTTTACAAAGCTCATGTGCAAATTCATAAGTCACCTCGTACGTGAAGAATTAAATCAAATTTCATCCTATAAGTAAGGAAGCAGCAGAAAAACTATTATTTTTCACCATACGAAAACTACTTATGTGAAAAACCCAAAGAGATATCACTCTCGAGTAGGTGTAGAAATAAAGAGCATGTGGAACCGCTTCCACGTAATAACATCTGGGAGCTCTGCTCCACTAGATCCTAACATGCCATGGTAGTCTCAACGATGTTGGCCAACATCGAAAAAAATCAGACGGTCGCAACCACGTATCACAACTTGTGGCCTAGCCACATAAAATCGCAGACCCTGGCCCCAGCCATGTCTAACAGCCTGTCAGTGATCCAAAGGTTCTCTAGCTGGAGATCACTTGTGCACAAGGATCACACTTAACCGAAGTGACAATCGGCCTACTCTCGAATCTCTCGATTTAATAAAACTATTTTAAAATATAGTTGGGTTCTCAAAATTTCATTTCAAAATCATTTCCAAAATATTCATGTAGTAACATGATAAGATCCCTTGTAAGACTTTAAAATATAAGTCTTTGCATGAGGTTGAAATATCATTTAGCATGGTGGATATGTGTTTCAATCATGAAAGCACATCACACAAACTATAAGGCACATACTTGACATAAATCATATTAAAAACTTATTTCCCAATTTCAAGAACTTTTACGTATATGTGTATATATATATAGCTTATATATAGTCAAAGCCATTTTCAAAGTCATAAGATCCACAATTTCCTAACATTTCTACCAACTCATGCTTTCCACAATTTTTCATTA